ATAAGCAGGAAACATGACTGGTTCTAATGCTGATAGGGAAAGGGGAAGCATGCAGCTGGGGAATAAAGGCCCCTGTGTGTGTATGTCGGGGGTCTCACTGGATCCCAGTCTCTTATTTTGGGGTTTTACTGAGCCTGTGGACTCCTCTGTGAAATCTCTGTTTTGGTTACCTAGTGCCACTCTGACAAGAATATACCACAAATGGGATGGCTTTAACAAACGGGAGTTTATTCTCTTACAGTTTGGAGGCTTAAAGTCCTAGTTCAAAGTGCCAGGCTCTAGGGGCTGGGTGAAAGCCCCTCAACCTTGGGGTCTAGCTCTGCCTCCTGCTCTCTGCCCACTGGAACTAGAGGCTTTTCTTCACTCAGACAGCTGCTGGCTGCTGAAGCTGACAAGCCCAAGGTTGACAAGTAAAGAGGCACAGTACCGATGTTACCAAACCACATAGCAGGCCATTCATTCAATTCCATTGAAAGTCCCAAGGTTGGCAGAGCATGGCAGGCTGCTGAGCAATGACACAGCTACATGCAGGGTTCAAGCATGCCATAAGCTAGAGACCATTCCCCAAGGCTTCTCCTTATATAAAGGAAACAGACCACATCCCTAAGGCAGCTACTCAGCTGCTCACAGTGGATTCCACCATGGAGTTGATTATTAGTCCTATCATGGGAAACACTACATCCAGCTGCCCAGCCACTCAACCAGGCCCAGCCAAGTTGACACACAAACTTAACTACTATACTCTCTAAACCTAGACCCCTTTTATGGGGTCTCTCTGGGTTCCAGAAAAGGATGTGGAACAACATAAAGAAAACAAAAATCCTCACAACTGGACCAATAAGCAACATCATGATAAATGGAGAAAAGATTGAAATTGTCAAGAGTTTCATTTCACTTGGCTCCACAATCAACCACATGGAAACAGCAGTCAAGAAATCAAATAACATATTGCATTGGGGAAATCTGCTGCAAAAGACCTCTTTAAAGTGTTAAAGAGCAAAGATGTCATTTTGTAGACTAAGGTGCACCTGACCCAAGCCTTGTATTTTCCTCATATGACTATGAAACCTGAACAATAAATTAGGAAAATTGAAGAGCATTGATGAATTTTAATTATGGTGTTGGTGCAGAATATTGAACATACCATGGACTGCCAGAAAAAGAAGAAATCTGTCTTGGAAGAAGTACAGTCAGAGTGTTCCTTAGAAGCAAGGATGGTGAGACTTCATCTTTTGTACTTTGGTCATGTTATCAGGAGGGACCAGTCCCTGGAGATGGATATCATGCTTGGTAAAGTAGAGGGTCAGTGAAAAAGAGGAAGACCCTCAACAAGATAGATTGATTGACAGTGGCTGCAACGATGGGCTCTGGCATAGCAGTGATTGCGAGGATGGTACAGAACCGGGGAATGTTTCATTGTGTAGTGCATAGGGTCACTATGAGTAGGAACCAACTTGATGGGACCTAATAACAACAACAACTGGGTTCAGAAGTCCCTTGATGCAGTCTCTTTGGGTTTCCCAAGGGGTAAGTAGCAATCTGTTCCTCAGGGCTGGGGGATCAGGAGGCAGGGCCTGAAGTCTCTCCAGGGAGGGTGGGGAAAAGTAGAGAGGGTCTGCTCTGATCCTGGGCTTCTAATCCATCGGGCCAAAAGGTACTCTGGCAAGCAGGCATCCTGCTCTTTGGCCCAGAGGTGTCAGGAGGAAGACAAGGTAAACAGTCTCCCCACCCAGACATCTGAGTCTCTTTGCTTAGAGTCCCCTCTATGTCTCTACTTTTGCAAGTTCTCTGGATAGATTCTCCGAGAAAGCATCTTCTTCTCCCTCTACCCCCATTTTCCTTGAATCCTGAGCCCATGAATGCTGGTGACAGCTCTGGCAAGTTCATAGCAGGCTGAAAACATATTTAGCACAAGTCTTGGCTCGATTACTCACTTACCAGCTGTGTGCCCTTGGGTGAGCTTTGTCACCTCTCTGCATGATGACAGAACTCTCAGAAGGACCAACATCATTTACTTGGCTTGTTTCCTGGGCAGGCTTCAGTTCATGAGGGAGAGAAGAACAGTTGGTGACAGTCTGCCTGGAAACAGGGCAGACTCTAGAGGGTAGGGAGCCATGCCAACATGGGGCTTTGGCCCATGCAGACACCACCAGAGGTTCTAGATTCCCAGACTGCGAGAGCAGGAAAGGGCTTTACAATTCATTGTATTTCCCCTTCTGCTCTCCCCTGTTTTACAAATGGTAAAACTGAAGCTCAGAGAACTTAAGTAACTTGTTTGAAGTTCTCCAGTGAGTCCACTGGTGGAGCTGGGATTAGAATCCAGGACAGGCTGGTGCATGGAAGATGGTTGGCTTGAGGGTCACCTCTTCAATGAAAGCTTCCATGCCTTGGATGTAGAACTGACTTCTGTGCCTCTGGGTCCCCACAGTGACCCATGTAGATGTCTCCCAGGGAACCTGCACACTTTTGGGGCTTATTTTATTTACCCATCTGACTCCCCTCACTAGAAGTGAGTTCCTGGAAGCCATCTCCATATCCCTGGAAATAAGTACAAATCCATCTTTGTCAGGATGCAGTCTTACCACTTTTCTATCGCTCTATGTCAATGGGAAATATTCAATCCACCCCCCGCCCCCAATAGGTTTCTGCCTTACACAGGTTCCAGCTTTCACAAGTTTTAGTGTAGTAGGTGTTCAGTCAATGTGTGTTGCAAGGATGGTGAGGAGGTGCTTGGAAGGCCTCCTGTCATGATTCTGCCTCCCTGGAATTATCCCAGACAAAGAGGGGAGGGGATGAAGAACACTAGAGGATGGGAGGAGGTAATGGCATGGAGGTGTGGGCCTCTGTTTCACCTGGTGGTCTTTCCAGATTTCCCACACTCACTTGCACTCACTCACTCATACCTCTTGGCTTCAGTCCAAACTTCTGCTTCTTTTATACCCCTACTTTGATGTCCCAGCACCTTTACCCCTCCCAGGTTTGCTGTCTAGGGGACAAGTCTGACTTTGGAATCTGAACCATCTTTCCTTGCCCCATTTTATTCTCATACGAGCTTCGAGAGGTAGGCAGGGTGGGGATGATCTAGCTCCATTTTATAAACCAGAGAAACTACACCTACTGTCATCGAGTGAATTCTCTCACAAGACAGAACAGAACTGCCCCATAGGGTTTCCGAGGATGTAAATCTTTATGGAAGCAGACTGCCTCACTTTCTCCCACAGAGTGATGGGTAAGTTTGAACTGCTGACCTCTTGGTTAGCCGTACCACCAGAGCGCTTTCTCTCTTTTATAGTTTGGGACATTCAAGCTCCAGGGGGCACTGTCCAAGTTCATTCCATGAGTTTGTGGCAAAACTGGGGTCAGTAATGATGAAGAAGGAGGTGCAGGGAGGGCTGGGGGCAGGTTTCTGAATCAGGGACAGGCTGGGCTTCCCCCAGGGACTTGAGGAACCTGGTTTTGTTTGCCTTTCTCCAAGGCAGATGGGACAGAATGGACCCCAGTCCGTGTGTGAGATGGGATGGAGAGAATCTCAAAATCTTGTCCCTCTACCCCTCTGCAGTCTTGATGGCTGCCAGTAGATGCCGTCAGTTTGCAACTTTTTGATCCTGTCCCTAGAGGTCCAGCTTCCAGCCCTGATCTTCCTCCTATCACTCCATCAACCTGCACTTGTACTAAGAAGTAGGGGATGGACAAGCCTTATGAGGCTGAAAGACTTCTATCCTGGCAGGGGAAGTGGGAAGGGGGGTCTCAGATTCTCACTTTGGCCTTTCTGGGACCTTTTTGGCAGCACTGGGACCAGGACAGAATATAAAGGCATAAAGACATCAGGAGGGATCCCCTAGACGGGCAAGCCAGCCCCAGCTCTAGCCCCAACAGCAACACTGTGTGGATTGGACAAAGGCATCTCTTTCTCAAAACTCTTGGCTGCCATCTGCTGGAAAACTGTCCCAATAGTTATATACATAGGAGCTCTGGTGGCGTAGTGCCTAAGGCACTTGACTGCTAACCAGAAGGCTGGCGGTTCAAACCCACCAGCCACTCTTCTGAAGGAAGGTTGGGCAATCTACTTCAGTAGTGATACTGCCTGTGAAACCCGAGGGGTCGCTATGAGTCAGGTCTGACTCGACGGCACATAACAACAGCAATTATATACATACACCTACAAAAACTACATAACAACAACAACAACAAGAATTACAAGAGGAATGGTGCCCCCTGGAGTTGTGCACTGCACAACTTGTACGCTGAATGGCAAGCTCCCAGAACCAATCTCCCTACAGGAATGGGTTTAGGCAGTAGAAGGAACACCCAGGAAGGACGAAGGAGCTTGAGACCTCCCTCCCTGGGACTGAGGTCCATTCCATCCTGGGGAAGACAGGGTGGACCAGGACCTAAGTGAGACCTGGGGACGTTAAGGGGCGGGGTTGAGGGGGGAGCAGGTGTGAAGAAATGGAGAAGTACAACTATGTCTATTAACGTTTTAGGTCACCAGGCCCTTCAGTGGCCCTCCTTATGGGCCTGTATCCTTTTCCTCTCCTTACCCCACTTGGCCTCCAGGGGTTGAGCCTGAAAGCACCGGGTAAGGTGGAGGGTGGTAATGAGTCGGTTCAGGGAGACAGGACTAGGTCCCGTTCTCAGTGGGGGGGTACTGCGGATGGCTTGACGGGGCTGGAGAAGAATCCCCCAATGACGGAGGAGGGGGCCAGGGAGCAGCTCCCTCGCTTCCCTCTCTCTTCCTTCCTTTCCCTCCCGGGCTTTGGTAAAGAGCGGCTTTCAGCGCCTGACACGGCTTGCAAACTGCGCCGCTTCCTTCTTGGGCAGAAAAGGACTTTCAGATGAAGCGGCGGCGGCGGCGGCGGCGGCGGCGGCGGCGGCGGCGGCGGGGACTCGGACAGCGCCCCCTCCCCCTAACGGCCGCCTCTCCCTCTCCCCCTCGCTTGCTCCGGCTACCCCACCTCTGGGAAGGCGCTGGGGGTGTGGCCAGGGGCCGGTATAAAGTCCGGGGGGGAGCAGGTCTCGGGCAGCCGCTCAGTCCCTTGCCCCCCGCCGCCCGCCGCCTGGGCCGGGCCGAGGATGCGGCGCAGCGCCTCGGCGGCCAGGCTCGCTACCCTCCGGCCCGCTTGCTAACTTCCCTAGCTCCGTGCCTATCCACCAGCCGCGCCGCCCCGTCTCCCCGCGCCCTCCGGGTCGGGTCCTCCAGGCGCGCCGGGCGCTGCCGCCGTGTGCCCCGTGCCGCCAGCCCGAGCTCCTGCACACCCTGCCCGCGCCCCGCGCCCGCGCCCCGTCCTCGCCGGGCCATGCTGCCCCTCTGCCTCGTGGCCGTGCTGCTGCTGGCCGCCGGGCCCGGGCCGAGTCTGGGCGACGAAGCCATCCACTGCCCGCCCTGCTCCGAGGAGAAGCTGGCGCGCTGCCGCCCCCCCGTGGGCTGCGAGGAGCTGGTGCGGGAGCCGGGTTGCGGCTGTTGCGCCACTTGCGCCCTGGGCAAGGGGATGCCCTGCGGGGTGTACACTCCCCGCTGCGGCTCCGGCCTGCGCTGCTACCCGCCCCGAGGGGTGGAGAAACCCCTGCACACGCTCATGCATGGGCAAGGCGTGTGCATGGAGCTGGCGGAGATCGAGGCCATCCAGGAAAGCCTGCAGCCCTCCGGTAAGGGGCCCCCTGGCCCACCTATGCCCACCCTAGTGTACGCCCCATCCAGCAGCCTCTTCATTATTCCCGCTGGCCTGGAAGGCCCTTTAAAACCCCTTGTTAATTGAGGAGAAGGCAGGTACGTGGCAAAGGCCGAGTGGCATGGGACAGGCTCAGCCAAGGAAACTACTATGAATCCCTAGCAGCCTGTTGCCACCCTCATGGGGGACTCTATCCCATCCCTTCATTTCAAACCTCCCAGGGATGCTTATATGAGAAGCCTAGTGTCAATGGTAGGCCTCCGTGCTGGTGCCAGAGTGGTGAATTCAGTGACCTGGTCCAGCCAGTTGCCTGCAAGTCAGAGGGCTGGGGCAAGATAATTGGAGGGCAGGGATGACAGGGTAGGGGCAGCCTTCTGTTCCCAATCTGGGGACCTCCCCTCACCCTGAGTACAGGTGAAACCTCAGGGGCTTGAGGAGCTGTGGCTTAACCTTTGACATTGGAGGTGGTGATGATGGAGTGGGCTGTGCAAATTAGAGGCTCAGTCAGAGTTGCCCTTCCCCAGTGCTCCATGCCAGCTCGTCTAGCTATTTTAAAGGTAACAGGAAGACAGGGGTCTCTCTGCCAGGCCTGGACACCTCTGCCTGCCCTGGTATACAGGCACTCCCCTCCTTTCTCCTGGCAGGTGCCATTCTGGATGGCAGAAGAGAAGCTAGTCTTGGTTCCCAGCCCAGAGCTGCAAAAAGCTAACTGATGTGGGATAGCGAATAGAGATGATGGGAGACAGCTTGAAAGACAGAGAGAGACAGAGAGAGAGAGACAGGCTTTAGAAGGCCCTTTGCCCTAATCTCATTGTTACACTTTCTCTTTTTCCATTTTTCAGCGAGCCTCTTAGTTTCTCTTTACAATCTTAGTCTTTTTCCTTTTTTCTCTTATTCTTTTCTGTTTTGTCTCTCAACCTCTAGTTTCACTAACAGTCTTGACCTCTCTTTCCCTCAATACCTTCTGCCCATTTTGTTTCTCTTTCTCCATCTTATTCTGTGTTTCTGTTTCTGTTGCCCTGCTCCCCTCACTTTTCTTTTAGTCTCTTTCTCTCTGTGTCTCTGTCACTGTTTCTCTTTGTTTCTGTCTTTGTTACTTTCAGACTCCCTCTGACTTTCTGCTCCTCTGTATCTCTGCCTCTGTTTCTTGTTCTCGCTCTGACTGTTTCGCTCTCTCTGGGCCTCTGTGTCTGTCTGTCTCTTTTCCTGGTGTCTGAAGCTTCCATTGTTGCAGTCCGGATACTGGGACTCTGGCCCGAGCTTCCTGCCTTGGGTCCCAGACCGCTCCACTTCCTCAATCCTCTGCAGCTTGTTAGCTGGAGGAGAGCAGGATGCAGGGAAAACAGGAAGGAGGTGGACCCCAGGGGTCTGGGCCCTGGGCCTCTCTGCCCTTCCTGCCCCTGGGCAGGGAGAGATGGGTCAGCGGAAAACATTCTAGGGAAATGCCAGCCTGGCACCCAGCACATCTGGGGTGGGGGGTTCTTGAGAGAGTAAGTATCCTGGGGCAGAAATACCATTGTCAGTGGGAAAGGAAGGCCATTGGTACCAGACCAGGCTGACGGTGAGGGCTGAACTCACTGAGTTTAACGGGCCACTTTCCCTTTTTTATCTCCTTCCCCCACTGGCCAGTGGGTGTTTGGCACCAGATAAAGATGGCTGGTAGCCTCCTTCTCTCTCACCAACTTGAACCTGGGTCAGAGGAGCCTTCAGAAGGTCTTGGGCACCCTTTCTTCCCTGGCTAGGTAGGAGTGCCCCATCCTGTAGTGGAGGAATATGTGATTCCATAGGGTTTTTGGAGGGCATGACACCAATAGTTTGTGATTGCCCTGTGAACTGATGCGAACTTAGGAATAGGGTGGCTTTTGGTCCTCTTTGGTCACAGAGCCCAGGTCCCTAACATCTCCCCTTTCCTTCCTTGTCTTGTCCTCCACCCATGCAGTGGATGCAGATATCTGGAGGGGGGAAAGGGGAAGTCTGGAGGAATCTGGAGGAACTAGGTACCTACTTAGCAAGCTCTGCCCATGTCCTTTCATCTTCTAGTCATTACAGAAGTACCCCTTTCATACATGTGAAAGGTTGTGCAGCAGCCCTGCAAGGTCTCTGGTAGGACAAGATTGCAGGAACTCTGCCCCATCCCTACTTCAGCTTTACACTGTGAATGGGCTGCTGTCCCTCCTAGATCCAAGGCTTAGGCCCTCCTGCCTGGGGAATGGTTTGCCAAGAGTATCAATCTTTTCTTTCTGCCTTATCTTCTTGAGGCTAAGCTTCAGCAGGTGGTTTTGGGGAAGGAAGGTGGCTACTTAGTGCATCACCTTCTTTGGCCCAGTATGGTCCAGCTGCATCCTATTTGCCCCAGAGGCAGGTTTCTCTCCTCCCTCTCCAGCTGACACCCACTTCGACTGGCCCTCCTGCCCCCAACTTCCTGAGCCAGCCAGCCAGGTTGTGGATTAACACAGCTGAGGTCACCGGAGGTGAGGGGGGTGGAACATGTTCGTCAGAATTCCACAAATTCTGCATCATCAGTGGTGCTGATCCTCGACTCATGGAATCTGAGGGTAGTGGATACGGCACTTGGACTAGGGAGTTGGTAACTGTGATCTGGGTCCTTCAGGGACAGGGTTAGGGAGCATACAGGCTGGGTTAATTTTTAGTCAGTGCAGCAAATATTGTCTCCTCTACTTCAGTACTGGGAATCCAGTCATGTCATGGGAACAGGGCCTTCCCAGAAATTCTCTGCCTTGGGGGATGGGAGAAGGAGGTTAATGTTTTTTCCCTTAGTGTTGGCAAAGCCAGAATTACTGATGCCTTGGGTATAAAGAGTATTTCTCTTAAAGACATAGACACTGCAGAGAGAAGTCTTGCCTCCTCCTCCATCCGGTCCACTTCAGTTTCCTCATCTGTAAAATGGGATGATAACAGGACCTGCCTCTCAGGGTTAGTGTGTCTGGCTTGGAGCAAGAACTCAATAAACGGAGCAATGATGAGGATAGTGGGACGTTCAGTGGTACTGGGAGAGGTGGGTGCGTGTTGGTGCCTTTTGCTGCTGTAAGCATGGGGAAGATAGGCCATTTTTCCTTATCTGACTCCTTAGTTTGAAGCCAGAAACATGGTATTTCAGTGAAGCGGACGACACTCAGCATGAGTAGTTTTGGCTTCTCCAGCCAGAGTTCAGAGAAAAAGGAAAAGGCCTTTTCTGCTGGGCAGGTGGGTGGCCCTTTACATTGTGGCTGAAACATCTGTGTCTGGGTGGCTGGGCCCACCCAGCTCACAGCCTCACCCTGGGTGTTTTCTGGGGAGCAGGGTCTAGGGTTGAGGAGGAATCATGGGGGTGAAATTAGGCAGCAGGAAAGAGGAAATTTTCCAGCTTTAACCAGGAACTTTGCAACCTGTAGTACCAAGGCTGTGAAACTCTTCTCTCTTTGGGCTCCTTCCCTTCTTCTGTTGTTGGAGCAGACACCAAGGTTTCCCTGGTGGGTGGCTGTTGGTTGGCCTAGGTCCAAGCAGAGGGCTGGAGAAAAAGACCTGGTCTACCTTGGCTTGCCAAACAAGCTTTTCAGAGGTCGGACCTTTCAGGAGGACATCGCCAACTCTAACTCTTGCTGTGAGAGCCCCCAGTGGTTGGGATTTTTCCAGAGGGCATTACCTAGTGAGCAGCACCAGCTGGCTGGAACTCCTGTGGGAGAAGGGAAGAGCCAGCTTTGGAGCCGGGAAGGTTAATATTTTCAGGGGACCCAAGGCTACGACCCTCACTGTCCCTAACCCATTCACCCTAATGGGTGGGTCCTGAGGTGAATCCTCAGTCTGCCAGTCAAGTAAGGCTGAGCAAGGAAAAGTTACAGATTAAATGGAAAGTCAACAAACCATGGTACAGGGAGACTGGCAAAGTCATTGAGCCCTACCTCGGGTCTTGTGTCTGACCAGGGCAGGGTCAGAATGCCTGAGGGCACGAGGGTGTGCACAAATAGATGAATGTGTGTCTGGACACGTGCTTGTTTGTATACATTTGTGATTCTGGAGTCCCAGCCTGTCTGAATGGGCTGATAGGGATTTACTCTGTGCATCTGTGTCCTCATGAGAGTAAGTAAGGAGTCTATTCTCTCTAGCTGATGTTTTCTACTCTAAGCTTAGACATGAGCTGGGGATAAGTGGGCCAAGCACGGAGGAAACCGAGAAGAGAGAGGCCAGACAGGGTACCTATTTAGCCTTTCCCAGATCACCCAAACCCCTATGGAGTTCTACTCTGACACACATAGGGTCATCATGTGTTGGAATTGCCTTGATGCAGCTGAGAGAACTGGGTAGATATGACATAGGATGACACCAACATGAGAACATGGAAGCTATGCTTCCAGGCTCACCCTACGCCCCACACAGCCCCAGATTTCAGGAAGTGAACCCAGTTTTTCTCTTTAGAAACCCTCAGTTAGAGAGATTAGGAAGAAAGACTTGGTGATCTGTTTCAAAAAATCAGCCAGTGTAAATGCTGTCAATCACAATGGTCCAACCTCATTGTGTTTGAGGTCACCACGGATTGGTGGCTTGACAGCAGCTAACAACAAATAGTAACTAAACCCACTGTCATGGAGTTGATGGTGACTCATAGCAACCCCCATTGGGTTTCCAAGGCTGTAAATCTTTAAGGAAATAGATTGCCTCATCTTCCTGCTGTGGAGCAGTTGGTGGGTTTGAACCACCAACCTTCTGGTTAGGAGTCATATGCCTTAGGCACTGTACCACCAGAGCTCCTTAATAGTAACTAAGGGAATGTTGTTGTTGTCGTTATTTGCCATTGAGTCGGCCCCGACTCATAGCGACCTCTCCTTGCGTTTCCGAAGCAGTATCATTATGGAAGTAGGAATGCCCAACCTTCCTTCCGAGGAGTGGCTGGTGGGTTTGAACCGCCAGCCTTCTGGTTAGCAGTCCAGTGCCTTAGGCACTATGCTACCAGAGCTCCTAACTAAGGGAATAAACATCTAAAATATCCACTGATAGTTCCTGGAGGTTTTGCACTCAGGCAGGCAACATTGGAAAACATAGTTGTAGGTAAGCTTCGACTCCAGATCCATTAGATTCCTGAGGCCTGGCTATCCCTGTGATGCTCCGAATCTCTGAGAGGGGGCCCTTTAACTCCTGAGACACCCCTATTCCCTAGAAAACTATTCCTTATTCCTCGAACCCTAGAACGTTCTGCCCATTTGCTAAGAAGAACAAGTTCACGAGTGCAGTGTTCTCCTTTATGATTATTAAAGGAAAGCAGACTCACAGCAAGGAAACAGCAAAAGCTCTCTAGGTTCGAAGGATGCTGCCCTGGAGTTAGTTTCTGGGCTATGGCAAAAAGTCCCCCAGGGGTCTCCTCAGCCCTCTCCAGGTGAAATGGCGGGACTTTTGTTCACATCTTGGCTCAACCTGTGTCATTCCAAGATTAGGTCCTAATTCTTTTAGGTTTCCATTTCCCCTTTCTTCCCCTCCCCCAGCCAACACCTCTGAAGCACTAACTGATCCTCAAGCCTCAATGGCTTTATGCAAATTGGAGGAATGGGGAAGTCAGTGATCAGCCTGGGTCTTTTTGGCTAAAGAAGCTCCTTAGAAGGGTCTTCAGGGAAGAGTCTGAATCCCAGATCTTTTCTGTGGTTCCTGACTGAAGGCCCAGGGTCCTTCTTGGTCCAGTTGGGACCATCCTGATCTTGTGAAGGTTATCTGCCCCTTCTTTTGCCACCCACATTGGTTGAGAGATCTTGCTATAGTGTCTTCTCCTTGATTGACCCTCAGGAACCTGACGTCTTCTGTGGACTAGAGTCCTCCTTGTGGACTGACCTTTTTGAGATGCTAAATATCCAGGAGGAATGATTATATCTATCTGCTCCATTTATTCCTTCCCTTTGATTCCTCTTTCTAAGCTGGTCCTCCACCAGTGACAGAACCTTCTCATTCTTGATGACTCAATTTTATAAATAACCCATGATGTGACAAAAACTTTCTGAGGGTCTAGATTCCTCCTTGCCTCATTTCTCTTGATCTGCATACTTCCTCCACATCCTCAAAACCAGGAGAATAAAAAGAGAAGTAACCTCCTAGCTTTGGCTAGGCGGAAAAACACCATTTGACCCAGAGGCGGCTCTGGGACCATTGCCACGCGTGGAGGAACCTGCTAACTCCTCAGGAAAAAAATCCTGACGCAAACCAGATGTAACCTTCTGTCTGGCTGCCAACATCTGGATTGTTGGCAGGAGGCTTGCACTCAGGCCGGCAGCAAGCTGCCAAGACCGAGCATTTCAGAGGTGGCTCTGATCTGTGGAGAGGTGTTCCAACCTCTTTCTCCAACTCAGCCCTATATTCTGGTTTTAGCTGCCTGGAGGGAGGAGTGGTGGTTACAGTTCTGGGACTTCTGGATTTTTTTTTTAGTTCTGATAGCGCCTTCAGGAGATCCCAGGGAGGAGTGAGGGTCCATCCTTACCACCCCTACTACCTCCTCACTCTGAGCAACAGACATGGACTTTGGGTGGGGTCTGAAGTCTATGGAGGGAAGACTTGAGGGAGGCACTGAAGGGCTGTGTGAGTGTGTTTTAGTCCTGCGGCCACATGGGGTGTGTTACACATGCACTTTCACATGCAGGCATACACACCCACTCCCACTACTTCTCTCCCACCCAGCCAATGGGGAGGGCCTTTGGGCCAGATTTCACATCACTCATGGAAACTCTGATTCTGGCCATTTGGAAAGGGTCAACAGGGCTGATAGTTCTGGGGATACCCTGGGTGGCTCAGCCAGATGCTGAAAAGAGCAGAGAGGAGACAGGAAGAGAAAGCAGACAGAGAGGGGCATGGTGGGAGGACGAGATGGAGGGAGGGACGAGATCTGAGATCCAGTGGGGGAGCCACCCTGCCTGCCTTCGACCTCCCTGCGGGGCCCAAGGGACCATTCTGCTGACTGGGCAGCTGTAGCCGGTGACTCATCTGAGGGCTGGACTGGGTCGGGTGAGGGACGAGTCAAGGACTTCAAGAGAAATACTCTCCTGGGGGGAGCGGGGAGGAGATGATGGCTGCTTTCATTGTTCCCCTCAGGTGCCCCCTGTTCTTCTCTAGTGCTAAGCTATAGTTTCCCCATGATCACAGGAGTCTGGATGTTGGTATAATGCTTTGTGCCTTCCCAGTACTGACCTCTTCCCATCTTGGCCTGACTACAGACAAGGATGAGGGTGACCACCCCAACAACAGCTTCAGCCCCTGCAGTGCCCATGACCGCAGGTGCTTGCAGAAGCACTTCGCCAAAATGCGAGACCGGAGCACCAATGTGGGCAAGATGAAAATCATCGGGGCTCCCCGGGAGGACGTCCGGCCTGTGGTGAGGACCTCTGCCCCATGAGTGTGTGTGCACATAGGCAGGCACACACACACACACATGCACTCACACACTCCCCCACACCTCACCAGGTTCAGATGTTGTTCATTCAGCAAACATTCTTTGGATGCCTACTGTGTGTAAGATCCACAGTGTGTGTATCATCAGCACCCAGAGAGAGCCTTCATTCCTTTCCTTGGAATTTCTTCCTTGCTCATCAGTAATCACATGGGTATAGCTGAACAAACTGTTAAATACTGAAATATTTACCTGGTTGGCGAATTTCTCTTGCCCCAAGCCCCCTGCTGTTTGTTCCTTGCCTCCTCTTTCTCTCTCTTTTTAAATTTCTATGCAGATATAATAGACAATTTGCAATTGGGCAACACATCATTTACTAAGTAAATGTGTGCTCCAGTTAGTTAGGATTCTTAAAATGTCTCAGCTCTTCTCTTAATCCCCCCATCCTAGATATTCCCAGTAACTCAAGGTTAATGCTGATGATAGCAGGGGCTCTGGGAACCTGCTCCAGGGTCTGGCTAATGTCCTTTCTATTGGGTGGTTCTGAGGCATCTATGCCTGGATCTTACAAGTTGTTAATTGTATTATTTTGTCTATCTGTCTGGCTTAGAAATTGCCCCCTCGCTGTCTTTCCCCATGGGTTTCTCTTGACCCCTTCTTTCTTTTCCCACAAGGTCCTATCACTTCATGCCTCTCCTTTTGGAAGCTCTTTGGCTCAAGACCCTCTCTTCAATATCTCTTTGCCCTTCCTATTAGCGTTACCTGAATCCAAGCCTCTCCTTTCATCTCATGGGTCCTACCCAGCCTCTAGGCCTTGTCCCTCCTTTCAGGACCCTCAGCCCCCATTTAGTTCTGAGTCCCAGGACGGGTCCTTCCACCTCTCTCCCTTCTACTGAGCAGTTTCATCCTGTCCCCAAGCCCCAGGGCTCCTGCCAGAGTGAGCTGCACCGGGCTCTGGAGCGGCTGGCTGCCTCACAGAGCCGCACCCATGAGGACCTCTACATCATCCCCATCCCCAACTGTGACCGCAACGGCAACTTCCACCCCAAGCAGGTGGGTCTTACTCTCCTGCTGGCTTGGCCCTGACCTCAGCTCCAGGGGCATTCCTGGCCTTTCTACAAGATGGTTTGGGATGGAGATCTCAGGAAGGGGGAGCCTCCCCAAATCCAAACCTAACCTCTTGAACCCTTCATAGCCCTACCCCGGCCACAGAACCTCGGGTCATTTTGTCTATCTCACTACTTTCAGAAGGATACTGAGGCCCAAAAAGAGAGAAAGTCTGGCCCAAAGTCACAGAGTGAGTTAATAGTGGGAATGGGACTAGAACTAGTCTCCTCATCCAGTGCCTTCCCATGCAGTGCTATTTCCACCACCTCTGGACTCACTATCTGTGGTGTAGACCTTAGCACCTCTGCCAATGTCTGGCTCCCACACCCTATTCTCTCACACACCTATTCCATTCCTATGAGTAGTGCACCCTTGTCACTGAATTTCTGAAGTTTCATCTGGGAATGAAAAGGCTAAATCATAAGAAATCAGAGAGGAACCTTGGCCTGCCCCTTCCCCTAAACTGGTGTTCAGCATGGATGGAGGTGAAGCCAGACCCAACAGCTGGAGACACCCAACACTTTGGGTGGGAGCTGAAGAAGGAGTGGGCTGTGGAGAAGACATGAAGGCAGCTAAGTCCTTGCTCACTCATACCCTTGGTATACTGGATCCCCTGACATGCCTGCAGGAGGCTGGGACGTTCAGCAGCATTGGCCTGCTTCAGCCCCGTCTCTGGCCCTTCAGAGTTAGGCCCACTTGAAAGGATGTACATCTGGGCAGGGTTCTGAGGCACTCCTTCCAAGATGTGGCCTGGGGAGTTGTAGGCCGGATATCCTTCTCTAGATCTTTGTAGACACAGTCCTACACACTGTCCCTTCCATGCCTTACAGACAAATCCACAAAGTGAGCTGTCACTGGGCTAGCTAGGTGGGGAAAGCCTGCCTCTGGGTCTGCACGTCCCATGATGATATGAGGGGGGAGAGTATGAGGAAGTGTCCAATGAGTAGAGGAACAGAGAGGGCCCCCTAAAACTAATGCTGAGCCCATCTCTACCCTGTATCTCAACACCAATTTTATACTTGTCCCAATTTTTGTCCCAATGAAAACTCTGACACTTGATACTTTATCCCCAGACCAATTCTGATCCTTGATCAACCTTTGTTCCAGCTCTAATTTTGATTCTGAAATTCACCTTTACCCCCCTCCCCCATCTAATCCAAACCTAAAGTTTAGTCCAACAAGGTCATTTGTTCTGACCATGACCTGAATCTTTACTATAATTCTATTTCTGACCTAGATGCTGCTCCTCCCCTAACTCAAATTTTAGTCCTAATTCTTTATTCAACTGCAACTCCTATTCTGATCCTAACCTTAACCTCAATTTGGATCTTGCTCTTAACCATAATCCCATTCATAGAGTCCCAAACCCAATCAGAACACACATTTGAAGTAGCTCCGACCTGAACCTTACCCTTTCAAATCCAGTTGCACCTTTAAACCCCATGGACCCAGTCTCCCCTCTAGCTGGGGCACAGAACCTCCCCAGGGCCCTGCTTCCAGAAACTCTCTCAACCCTTCTTGGTCAAGTTCTCTCTACTCTAGCAAGCTCATGGGACCCACACTTAAGAAGCCTTAGTCCTCAGAGCCTACCTTGGAGCAAATATCTGCCTTGGAAACTGGGCTGGATTGGGGAAACCTGCTTAGGATCTCTCTTTTTCTGCCTGGGGACTAACCCCTACCCTTGTCTTGGCAGTGCCACCCAGCCCTGGATGGGCAGCGCGGCAAGTGCTGGTGTGTGGACCGGAAGACAGGGGTAAAGCTTCCAGGGGGCCTGGAGCCGAAGGGGGAGCTGGACTGCCACCAGCTGGCTGACAGCTTCCGCGAGTGAGCCCTGCCAGGAGGCAGGGAGCTCAATGCCCCCTGCTACCCCTATCCCCTGGAGGCTTCAGAACTGACCCAGAGCCTGGGTTTGAGTCCTGGCTCTGCGTCTGGCCCAGAAAAATTTCCCTTGGGGTATGTGTATGTGTGTGCATGTGTGTGTTTATGGGCATGAGTGTGTCCTTGGGGTAAGCCAGAGCCAGGGGATGTCCTCTTTGGGCTTAGGTAACTCGAGAGGTCTAAAAGTGGCAATGGGGAGCCCTGTCATGTTTCCACACTGATCCTGCACTCATTAATTCAGCCAGCCAGCCTACTGAAAACGTTTATTGACCACATACTACATGCCAGCTCTAGTTTTCAGTCCTGGGGCTCTTTTTTTATTTCCTCTGAGTTTGGTATGTGGGGACAGTGCCTGTAGGGTGAGTGTAGGCCTATGGGAGAAAACTCTTATTCCCAGAGTCAGAAGAGAAGGGTAGACATGTACCTTGACCATTGCTCCTCCTCAGTCTAGTCAGAGGGTAGGGGCTGTGAGGGTGGTAGATGGCTCAGTGGTCATGAGACCCAGCCAGCCCCATTCCCAAAGCCAAGGCTTCTTCCCCAGGTCTCTCCAGGGGGAAGGACCTACAGAAACAAGCCCACTTTTGTGTCAGGGTACAGTGCCATCTGGTTGGTTGCCTGGACGAGGCCCTGGGGAAGGGAAAGGAAGAGGGCTGGAAGAAAACCTGCAGGGCAGAGGGTTGGGGAGATGGGGGTCATCCTTTTGAGAAGTCAGGGTTGGAGAGAAGAATGTGAGATCAGACTGAATGTGCCTAATGGAGTAGAGGCCCCACAAAGCTGGGGGATGAGGGGGCTTGCCTGGGGTCCTGCCCCCTACCCCATTTGCGGTCACAGCCACAGAGTCACCTGGATGACTCTATCCTTCACGTGGCTGTGCCTCCCTCCCATACCTCCTTCCCCCCGCACTTCCCTCCCCAATCTCCCTGCCCACCCTGGACATTTTCTGGCTTGATTGGATGGAAGGAGACATAGAGACCTTCCAGTTGGACATGATGTCTTTCTTTTTTTTTTAACAAAACAGAACAAAACCGAAAAATATCTTGACAACTGTGTTTTGTTGATTTATTTACAATTAAGAGACAGGGATGACAATTAGTCCAAAGGACTAATGGGACCACATGAACCACAGCCTTCACTAGCCTGAGACCAGAAGAACTAGATGGTGCCCGGCTACCAACACTTTGATCAGGATCACAATAGAAAGTCTTGGACAGAGTGGAAGAGAAATGTGGAACAAAATTCAAAATCATATAAAAGACCAGACTTACTGGTCTGATGGAAACTGGCAGAACCTCCAGACTATGGTCCTCAGACCCTTCAAACCTGGAACTGAACCCACTCCTGGAGATCACCTTTCAGCCAAACAACGTTGTTGTTGTTGTTATGTGCCGTCGAGTCGGCCCCGACTCATAGCGACCCCTCCTTGGGTTTCCAAGGCAGTATCCCTACGGAAGTAGGATTGCCCAACCTTCCTTCCAAGGAGTGGCTGGTGGGTTTGAACCGCCAGTCTTCTGGTTAGCAGTCAAGTGCTTTAGCCACTATGCTACCAGAGCCAAACAATAGACAGGCCTATAAAGTGAAGAACGTGTTTCTCAGAACAATTAACCACAGGAGACCAAAAAGGCAGCATTTGCCCCAAAACAAAGTTCAGAAAGCAAGAAGGGGCAGGAAACATGGAGGAATGGAAATGGGGAGCCCAGGGAGGAAGTGGGAAGACTGCTATTACATTGAGGGGATCACAACTAATGTCACAAAGCAAAACGTATATAAAGTGTTGATGAGAAACTAAGCTGCTGCGTAAAATTTCACCCAAACCACAATAAAATGGGGGAAAAAAAAAAAAGGGATGCACCAGGGGTGGAGAGAAGGGGCCAGATCTGGGGAGATGAGTCCTGTATGGTCCCCTGACCTACCCTTCATAGTAAGAAGACTGCAGAGGACCAGCAAATTCACCCCAGGGAACACCCCATCTCCAACATCTCTGCTGTCTGCTTAGACTTCTGGTGGGCAAACTGGCTTCTGAAGGGAGGGAGACACCAAGGGCAGCCCTGTTGGGACAGAACTGTAGCTGGGAGTAGCTGGTATGTGGAGCTGGGACATTTCCTAGGGTATCAGGCAGGGGTGGAGAGGAGAGAGGCAGATTTGGGGAGGGGTACTGTGTGATCCTCCCACCTGCCCTGTAAGGGAAAAGGACTACAAAGGGTTGGGTTTGCATCTGGATTTGATTTATTGACTTCATGGCTGGGGGGTATTCTCCTGCAGTTGGGGGAAGGGAGAAAGCTCTCCAGTACATTCCATAGCTCTGATTGCCTAGATTCCTGACTGGGGGTTGTACTGAGACTTCATTCTGAGGGGCTGGGAGTGGGGCACCCTTGACTTTGCAGTCCTGGGTTCACTGTGGGCTCTCAGTGCCAGCCCCAGCCTCCGAATTATATCCACATGGTAGGACTGGATGCCTGGCAGACCCCCAAAGCCCCTCCTTCTCTCTTCCACACCTCTGTGACAGGTGGGAGGGGATCTGGTCTCTTGGATGGAAGTGACTTCCTTGGAGGTCACAGGGAGCCTAGAGACTGTGCACCCAGTGTGATACCCTCTGGGGAGCCCCCTCCCGTTTCAGCCCCCTCCCCAGTTCCAGCAGCATCCCCAGGCCTCTTGATTTCACTGGCTCCTGACAGGTTGGCACCTGTGCTGTTTGCATCTGGAGTTGGGGCCTCAGTCTGTGCATCTCCAGCTTTGAAGCTGCAGCATCCTGCAGCCATCTGGTCTCCCTGAGGCACCGCTGCCAGAGGCAGGAGATAAAGAACAAAGTGACTGCCTCAGCCCCCTGGCTACTCTTCATAGAGCCCCACCTTCTGGGGTTGAGGCCAAGGCATGTGTTGGGGTGGGAGCTGGGTGCAGACTGAAGATGAAGTGTTAGGACCCTAAGCCAAACGGGAGGGAAAACATCACTTTCTGTTCTTCTCCTTTCCAGCCCTTCTTCCTAATGCTCTGGCCTTACACCTGTGGCAGTGGGTGGTAGGAGATCTTTTTTCTTTCATAGGTCTTTGTGTATATCACAAAAGCCCATGATAGACATGTATTTGTGTGTTTATAGTAAAGTGGTATCTGAAACATGAGTGAGAGTATGGGCATTTACAGAGAATGTATCACACTTGGTATAATGTGTCAGTTTGGATGTGGTGTGTATAGATGGGCTGTATGAATCTATGAGTGTGTTCCTGAGGGTCAGTTTGAAGAGAGAATGAGACATTCAGAGAGTATATGCTTTGCTTTCTGTTGTGAATGAGTGGACTTCACTCATGAGGTGTCCTTACTGTAGGGCTTGGGTAGAGCTGTCTAGCACCAGAGAATAGAGGACACACACTTTTGGGAGGGGAATTCCACATCCCACAGAAACACATCATGCCCCTGCCACTTGCCCCCAATGACCTTGGAGGCCAGATCCTAAATGTCAAGACAGAAGGAAATACAAACAGCTCTATGTCCATGTGGGCACCTTCTACCAGGCCAGAGGAAGTGGACTGCCCTGGCAGTGCTCCCTAGTAAATTTACACTAGGGAAAACCAGGCTCCAGAAAGGTCTTGCTGGACTAGTTTGCCTCTAGGTCCTCCTGCCTTGGCCTTCAATATCCCTGAATGGTCAAGCTAGTTCCCAATGGGGCAGAGGTGGGAAAGATGAGAAAAGGGTGGTCAACTTCTTATGTCCTGATGGGACTGGCATACCTGGATGAACTTGAGAACTGAAGTCCTTGAGTGCTCTGCCCTGCCTTCCCAAGAAATGCCATTCTCCCACACGGTGGCCTGGAGCAGGGAGATGGAGGCACCCTGCCAGGATCCCCTAGCCCAGCGGTGCCTGTCTACATCAGGCCTTTGGTTTCCATTTCCTAGCTCATTAGAGAAGATGGAGCCCCGATGTCAGCTAAGGGTTGGGGGCTGGGCTTTCCACTGGCAAGAAAGCAGGGTGAGTAATTGGGACCTTGGACTGACTCCAATGTTCGGTTCAGGTGGGGCATCTCCAGAGAGCTGGCCAAGCCTCTTGGGCCCTCCTCCTATTAGGCCCCAAGGTCTGACCACTGTAGTCCCTTCAACTCCTTCCAGGAAAAGGCTGGTCTCCTAATCCCCTCTGCCCTTTGAGCCAGATTCCGCCACCAAGCCGCTCCAGGAATGTTATGAGGTATGCAGGACTTAGGGGCCAGCTCTCCCCCTTCCTGGGGGGGGGGGTATATGGCTGAATGGTAAATGACCCCGAAACAAACATTCCTAGTCAAGAAACTCCCCCAGCATTCCAGACCCCTGTGGCAATGTCACCTCTGACCTGGAAAGAGAAAGTCAAGATGATGTTAGATAGAGCTGGGAGGCAGGCTGGCCGATGTTGGGTTGTCAAAGGGAGGAGGGGCAGGGAGAAGGGAGGAGATACATTTAAGGGGGGAGTGGGAGATAATGGGGACTGATAAGTGGAGGAGAGATTTGGGCCTGCCGGGAGAGAGACAAGACTCCAGCCAGCCAAGAGTATAATTAGAGCCTCACTGTCAGAATGACCTGTCCCCTCTATGTCTGAGGCCCCAGGGGCTTGCGGAAGGTTGGGTCAGAGAGTATAAGGGTGTGTGTGTGTGCTGCTGCTGCTGATAATTAGAAACACACTCTACTGAGTGAGCAGGCGCCACCAGGACCACCTCTCCCCTCACTTCCCCTTCTCTTCTCCAGGTCCCCAAACCCCTTCCCCATGACCTGGATAGTTCCAGCCAGACTGAGGGAGGGGCTGGTGAAGTCTGAGAGTAGAAGCTTGGTGGAATTGGCTTCCCTGGCCCTTACACAGTCTCTAAAGTGCAAACAACATATTTTCGCCATGCAATGGTATTTAATTACACATAAAAACAGAGCCATTAAACTGAAATTAAACCCGTGTTGGAATCACTTAATTCAGGGCATGACAAATTGCTTTCAGTGGAGGCAGCAGTGTAGTCCCCTGGGGAGAGACAAGATTAGCAGCTTCCATGGCTGGCTGGGTCCCCTCTTTTGGTTGGCTGTCCTGCCAGCTCTGAATTCTGAAACCCGGGTCAGAATCTTTTTGCTAAAGACCACCCAAACCAAATGGAAGCTCCTAGGTTTGTTCAGAATGATAGGAATGGAGGGTTGGGGAATCACAGAATCATGTCTGACTCAGTTTTCTACAACTCAGTCCATTTTACTGATGA